TCACGGCTGCTCAGCTCGGGCTGACTCGAACCACTGTTGCTCAGAGCTCAAACTCTTGAGCGAGCTCTTAACCAACTGAGCCACTCAGCCGGCCAGAATAATTTTTTAATTGAGGTAAAATTCGGTATACAACATTATTTAAGTTTCAGACGTACAACATTAGAATTCAACTTCTGTATATACTACAAAGTGATCACCACCAAAAAAAATCTAGTTATCATCAAGACAAGAATAATTAATGTTCATTAACTCAGGATAATTTCATGTCTTTTAAGATGCTAATTAAATAGTGAGTTTTTATGGGGAAATAAGTTTAGCTTTACAAATAAATGGCATTTAAGTACTACTTCGTTGTATGATATGTTTTAACTTTAATTTTTTTACACTTTACAGATGGGTCACCTCTCAGTCAAATTTAGGAACTACCTACTACCATATGTACATTCGTTTTACGAACACCTAAGAAAGAAAAAAGCTGTCAACCTATGGTGTGCCATTGTTTGTAAACATTGATTACATTTGATTTGACCCTCCTTTCCATCTTTTTTCTCCTCCCTTCCCTCTAGTTTGTGATTGGCACGATGGAAGAAGCTGGAATGTGTGGGCTAGACGTGAAAGCGGATATGTTACATAATTCTCAACCAAACGCTATTCTTCAACACCAAGACTCAAATTATTGCGGCACAAACAAGCATTCAGGGGAAGAGGATGAAGGCAGTGACTTTCTCACAAAGAACAGGAGTTTGGTGAGTCCAGCGTACTGCACACAAGAGTCGAGAGAGGAAATTCCTGGGCGAGAAGCTCGAACAGATCCCCCTGATGGTCAGCAAGATTCAGAGTGCAGCAGGAACAAAGAAAAAGCCTTAGGTAATAACCTCTGCTCAGTGGTTGGACCTTGTCCCACGCAGCTCATTTACTTATATTTCCTGCCACACAGGTGATTATGAAGGTGGCCTGTACTGAGGTGGTGGTGGTTAGCGGCTGCATCTGTTGTCTCTCATGGGGTCAGCCTGCCTGTCTGCTGCAGTTATGTGCGGGCGCCGAGAGAGCGGAGTTTGCTCTAAGTAATCAAGAATTGGCTTTCCTGAAAAAAATTTGGGGCCAGCTTGAGAGAAGTAAACTTGACTTGCCTTGTTTGCATCTTTAATATAGTCCAACCAACATTTACTGTGAAAACTGTACATTTATTTGATCACTTTATTTAAAACTAGTCATAAAACTTGAGAAACGACATAGGTTATCTGTAGTTCAGAAAGTGGTTTAAGACTGGCTTTCAAGGGTATATTTTCTTTCTCCTGCTGTGTTTGACATTGAGGACTAAGAATGTGATATGTTGAATCTCATGAAATCTGAAATCCCCTTTTATTTTAGCCTTACTGGTTGCCCCTAAGTTTTTTATACTTATACCTAAGATTAACAATGTTTGATTTGTATGGTTTTCTGTATGCTAAATTAGAATTATCCTTATTAAATCCATTTTCTGCAAACTTAGAAAATGTAAAATTTATAGAAATACAAATATAGTTTTAATTCCTTACAAATAAGACATTACGTCAAAGTCAGCAGCCCCAATTATGTGTGTAAAGGCAGATAGTCAATTACACATAACGTTACCATGTGACCCAGAAATTTTACCTCTAGAAATGTGCCCAAGAAGATTCAAAACGTGTCCATGCAAAACCGTGTACACGAGTGTTTGTGGTAGCATTATTCATAATAGCTAAAAAGGTGAAACAACAGTTACCATCAACTGATAAGAATGGATAAGAAAATGTGGTATATTTGTACAGTGGAATATTGTTCAGCTGTAAAAAGGAATGTAGTACTGATAACATCCTCTGTGTGTGAACCTTGAAAAAATTATGCTAAGTGAAAGAAACCAGACACAAAAGGCATTATGTGATTCCATGTTATATGAAATGTCCATATTGGCAAATCGATGGAGACAGAAAGTTAGAGTAGTGGTTGCCTGGAGGAAGGAGCAATGGGCAGTGACTGCTAATGGGTATGTGGTTTCTTTTGGGAACGATGAAAATGTTCTGAAATTAGACAGTGCTGATGGTTGCACAGCTTTGTGAATCTAGTCAATCGTATACTTTAAAAGGGTCAATATTATGGTATGTGAATCGTATGTCAGAAAAACCCAGATGAAGTGTGAGTTTAAAAATCATCATAAAAATTGCAGGTTACATTATGGTTACTTCTAATTATGTTCAATAATCACGTTCAGTCATCTCTTAAAATTCTTATTGGCCTTGGGCTGAAAGAAGGTTTTGTTACTAAAATTTTATGTGGATAGAAAAGTACTCTATTTTGAAGTCAGCCTGCTTTTTTCCTCATAGCAGTTTGAATACCACATACCAAAGTCATTTTAATGTTTTTAATGAAATATCCTACATATGAGTGAACATTTTAAAAAATAAAAATGGTACCTACCACCCAGCTTAAGAAATAAAACATTATCACTTTTTTTTTTTAAAGATTTTTTTGGGGAATTGGGGGAAGGGGAGCAGACAAGTTGCTGTCTTTTTGTTCTTCAGTCTAGTTGTGGAGGACGTTGCTTCACTGGCCCAAGTTGGCACCATCATTGCGCTCTTCCTGGGCGAGGCAGATCAGTTGCCGGCCTCTGGACGGCCGCTCACGCTCGCTGCTGGCTACACACGGTAGCCCATGGCAGCCCACTGCAGCAGGGGCTGCAGCCTACGCCGTCGCCAGCGACTCATGGCAACCCAGCTCCAGGTGGAGCTGTTGTTCCGCATCTTAGCTGTGGAGGGCAGCGTCACCGGCCCTCATATGTGGAATCCGAACCGGGGCTCTCTGGTGTCCCAAACCATCTCCTAACCAACGCGCCAGTCAGCCGGCCCTTATCACTTATTTTGAAGCACCACTTGTCCCCTCCTATCTCAGCCACCTGCTTCTCCCTGCCAAAGTCTTTAAATATTGTTGTTAAACCCTTTTCCCCAAGGAAGAGCTATCTTGACATCTCCTTATTTACAATGAACTTGGTTAACACACAGAATATACTTACTATATCATCAGAAGTTATTTAAATTTCTCATAGAAAAACATACGTGTCACAAGTGATTATGTGCATCTTATTAGACAAGGCAGAGTACCAACTGAAATTCCCTTCGAACTTGCTTCTGCAATTTGTATTTGTTTAGCAGGAAACTTTTAAAAATATTCTGCCCTTTGTAACTTACTTTTGTCTTAACTTGGACATCAGTGGTTAAGCAAGGGATTTTTTAAGCCTTCAGCAAGAATTCTTCTTACACATAGCTAGCAGTGTTAGTGAGTGAAGACATTTGGGGGTGGGGTGGGGAGAGGGGTGCCTGTTAATCCAGAATTTAAAAATAGCTTTCTTAAATCTCTTGTAGTTACAGGCATAAATTATTTTACTCTGGATGTCAGAACATAGGAAGTGTTACGTAGAATTTGCAGGTTAGAGTTGATCTCATTCTTCTTCCAGGACTTACTTCTTATCTTGTTCATCATCAGGAAAAGAAGTTTTATTATTGATGCAAGCCCTAAACACCCTTTCAACTCCAGAAGAGAAGCTGGCAGCTCTCTGTAAGAAATACGCTGATCTTGTGAGTATTAAATCAAGGGCATGAGGGCCACATGAAATATAGCAAAATATGTATGTGCTTGATAAGAATTTCAAAATATGATTCTGATACAGCTTTAAATGTAAAATCGTATTTTATTCCAAAATTGGAGCAGAATCTGATTTCTTGGGGCTTTTTTTGTTGCTTGTATGACATCATTTTTAAGGTAATACATATGGAACAGTATAATGCTAAGATAATGGCATAGATTTTGTAAAATCTAGTCTTAGTGGATTTCTAAGTCAGCCTTTTCACGCCTGTGGTTATGATGCTTTTTGTCATTTGGGGTGTAGTGGTCCTATATTTTTTTTCCCCAAGGGAATTCTAGACATAAAGGCTCTAGCCATTACAATTGAAATTGTGAGTTAGATGAAATAGTCTTCTAAAACAATACTGTGCCTCAGGAAATTTTTATTTAGCATCTACTGTGTGCCAGGCATTTCTTTTGCCATCTTGCAAAGAAGTTGACCTCATTTGTTCTGATCCTATGTTATTTCAAGTAGCATTAATTCTCTTTTTAAAATTAAGAAAGCACTCGGTGAACATACAATGTTATATATAGATGATGTATTACAAAATTGTACACCTGAAATCTATGTAACTTTGCTAACAACTGTCACCCCAATAAGCTTGAATAAAAAAATTAAGAAAGCAGTCTCAACATGGAAACACTGCCATCCCATTTAAGCTGAAGAATGGGTAAGTTATAGAACCCTTGAAATTAGGGCTGTGGGAAACTTAGAATTCTAATATAAATGTTACTAAAATTAATGCCTTTTGTGAAATACTTATGTGAGTTATCATTGACAATTTATGTGCATTTTCATCTGTTGTTAAAGCAGTTATTCCATATTGTAATCTACTTGTCAATGACCAGCTTTGAAAATGAATTCTGTTTATTACTCGAAGAATTACACACAAAAGCCACAAACAAAAACACCCTATACCCTTGCTACTTAAAAGTGTGATTCAAGCGCTGACAGTATTGTCATCATCACTTGGGAGCTTCTTAAAATGGAGACTCTCAAGCTCCAACCCAGACCCAGTGAATCAGAATGTGCCTTTTAACAAAAGTCCCAGTGATTTGTGTGAGCCTGAGAAGGATTGCTCTAGGCCACTATTTGCCCTTTCTTCTCCTAATCTTTAGCAACCTTGACTATTCTTGGCTCTTTATAAAAACATTTTAGATTCAATTTATTGGTTCCATGGGGGAAAACACCACTTGGGGATTTTGCAGTGCATTTCCTGGAATCTGTGGGTGCATTTGAGGGGATACTTCATATCCTCATGAAATTAAAGAAACTTAAAAAGCAGGCATCCTTATGAAAAAAATGAAATTAGACCCTTATATATCATACACAGTGATCAATTAAAATGAATGAAGGACTTAAATATCAAAAATTAAGCTTTAAAAATCTTAACCATCATTTAGATTTATTTAAATCTATTAATAGGTGAACATTTTTCCAGACTTGGGTTAAGAGAAGGATTTTTTTTTTTAAAGATTTTTATTGGGGAATTGGGGGGATGGGAACAGTGCTGGGGAATTGGGGGAAGGGGAACAGACAAGTTGCTGTCCTTTTGTTCTTCAGTCTAGTTGTGAAGGACGTTGCTTCACTGGCCCAAGTTGGCACCATCATTGCACTCTTCCCGGGCGAGGCAGATCAGTCGCCGGCTTCTGGACGGCCACTCACTGCGGCTGCTGGCCACTCACGCTGGCTGCTGGCTACACACGGTAGCCCATGGCAACCCATTGCCACAGGGGCTTCAGCCTACACCGTCACCGGCGACTCACAGCAGCCCAGCTCCAGGTTGAGCTGTTGTTCAGCATCTTAGCTGTGGAGGGCAGTGTCACTGGCCCTCATATGTGGGATCCGAACTGGGGCCCTCTGGCATCCCAAGCCAGTTCTTAACCATCGCACCACTTGGCCGGCCCAAGAGAAGGATTTTTTATAACACTAAAAGCACTATCAGAGAAAGGATTGCAAAAAATTGGCTATATTGAAATTAAGACTTTCTGTTTGTCAAAAGACACTTTAAAAGAAAGTGAGAAGATATTGCAAACCTGGGAGAACATATTTCTAATAATACAATCAACAGAAGATTTAGTATCAAGAATATCTAAGGAACACCTACAAATAAATACGAAAAGGATAAATAACCCAATGGAAAACTGGGCAAGAGACACATAAGAGGTGTTTCCCATAAGTGGAAAAACAAAAAGATATACGGATAGCTTAACATAAAGATAACATAAACATACAAAGATGTTTGAGCATATTAGTGACCAGGGAAATGCAAATCGGGACCATAATGAGATGCTGTTTTATGGCCACTGTAGTGGCATAAAGTAAGAATTCTGATCGAGCTGAATTGTGGAGAGGATGTGCATCTACATGATTGCTTATAAATCATTGATGGGAAAAGAAATTTGCCAGCTACTCTGGGAAACAGTCTGGCATTGTCATGGGAAATAAAACGTACAGAAATCACAGCCTAGCAATCCCACATCTAGGTTTGCACCCAAGAGAAATTCTTGCATGTGTATACCAGGAAACACATATGACAATGTTCATACCATTGTAATACAATGTAGAAACAATCTAAATGCACATTGACAAGAGAGCAGATCAATAGTGTGTTGTGTGTGGTATATTTTTTTAAAAGTGGAATACTATGCAACCTGTGGGCCATATCCAGAGAGGCCTGTTTTTGTTCTGCCTACAAGCTTTTCAAAGTGTTGTTTAGGAAAAGACACAACAGATACCATATGTGGCCTGCAAAGCCTAAAACATTTACTTTCTGGCCCTTTACAGAAAAAGTTTGCTGAACTCTGATCAGTAGCTACATGCAAACAATCTGGATGAGTCCTGGCAATATCATCTATAGCTGTGCTGTCCAAAATAATAGCCGTTAGCCACATGTGGCTATTTAAGCTTTATTTAAATTAAAGAAAATGAAAAATTTCTTTCCTCAGCTGCACTAGCCACAATCGAGTCAAAACAACTAAAACCAAGATGACTTCTTTTAGGACCAAACACAGATGATGTAAGATAAAGAGGAGAGCAAAGGAGTAGTGAACCCAGGATTTAGGATTGTGGTTACCTTGAGTCGGGGAGTGCTGGGGGACTTCCAGCCCTCACTGGAGTTACAGATGGTAGGTGCAGAACCAGCAGTCTCTTGGAACTGCGCCGCAGCCCGTGGTCCATAGTAAGATTATTTTACAAAAGTATTATACAGAAACAAAATTAATTTTACAGCAGGGATTTCCATAAAGGCATTTTTAATTAAATTTGTTGGGGTAACTGCTTAATAAGATTACATAAGTTTCAAGTGTGTACAGTTCTATAATACATCATCTGTATATTGCGTTGTGTGCTCATCACCCACAGTTTAGTCTCCTTTGAGCTGTGGTACATTTATACAATGGAGTACTAAGAAAAGATGAAATACTGCCCATTTTTCAACAACATGGATGGATCTTGACAGTATCATGCTAAGTGAAATAAGTCAGACCAAAAAGAATCATATGATTTCACTCTTGTAGAATATAAAACAGAAAGCAACAAATGAAGGAACCAAACAAAAAAACATAAAAGCATTTTTAATAACTAAGCACATCTCCTGTAAGGATGCTTGTTGGTATGTTTCGATAGGCCACAAGGTGTCACTCTTGCTCTTGAAATTGTGACTCAGCATCATTTCCTTCAGTAAAAGGTCAGTAAGGTTGCCATCTTATCTTTAATTGTTGATTTAACACATTTGCTCCAAACCTAAATTTGCAGTGATTCCCTCTCATTCGCAAAGAACCCTAAGCGCTGCCTAAGTTCTAATTCGGAGGACTGTTTTGTTAAAGTAGCCTGTGTGTATTTTCAGAAAAGTAAAACTCGGTGGTGTTGATTCCTAAAAAGTTTTCCGTAAACATCATTTTTATTGTTTTTAATAAGAAATAGAGATTAAGATTGTTTTGTTCCTACCCTAAATTATTTGCTTACTTTCCTTTCATAACTGGAAAAGGGAAGGTTGGTGGTGTAGAATGGCATGAAACAATGAAAATAGAATATTGTGTTATAATATTTGGTTCTTGAAAATGTGTTCCATAGCGCTTACTGTAATTCTTCTAGCCATAACTCAAAAGGTTTTCATTGTGCGTCCTAATGTAAAGTGCTTATTGATTTCAGCTGGAGGAGAGCAGGAACGCTCAGAAGCAAATGAAGATTCTGCAGAAGAAGCAAGCCCAGATTGTGAAAGAGAAAGTTCACTTGCAGAGTGAACACAGCAAGGCTATCTTGGCGAGAAGCAAACTGGAGTCTCTTTGCAGGGAACTCCAGCGTCACAACAAGACGCTAAAGGTTAGTTAGTTCATTGTACTGTTTTTCAGAGGGAATGAGTTAGCTTGTTTTATAATTACCATGTACCTATTTGAAATAAGTCCTTGTCTCTACTTGGAGACAGAACTGCCACCTTGCTTTCTATTTGCTTGGCCTGCTGCTGCTCAGAGCCCCTCATACTTGGTCTTGGCAATCTAGATGAGATTGATGTTTAGAGCAAGCTCTCCTGCTTGGAGCCATGGCTTAGGAAGCTCATAGTTGCCAGTTTTCTGTTGAGCACTGACATAATTAATTACCATGCATGCGAAGCTGACATGAAATGAGAAACGAGTGGGAGCAGACTTGAGGCAGAATGAATCTGGGAAGGAAGGCAGGTGCTGAGCTCCTCCCGGGCTGTTAGTCGGCTGCCTTGTCAAGCTGCCCTCGCCCCTCCACCCCCAACAACCCAGTTCCTGAGGACTTAGAATAGTACTTATACCTTGTCCGATCACAAAGGAAGAGGGAGCAGGCACTCAAAGATGAATTGGTACCAACAGGGGAAGAAGGAAAAACAGGCATGGGAGCAGGCCCGTCCTTGTGTAGTTTGGTTTGATTTTGACTGAGCAGGATCTTAGACTCCCCCACCGCAGCAAACTCCCAAGGCCCTAGAATCTAGGCGCACTCAGGAAATGGATCTTCACCTGATGTGGGAGTCCATAGTTTTTTCTTTGCTTTTGAACCCTTGGATTTAGATGTTAATTAAAGTAGGTGGTATTTTTTTTTCCCATAGCAAAACAATTATTTCGATTGGACTGATAACTGCTAAGACACGTAAAAGTCTTTTAACACCTGTATCCTAGTAAGAGATGCAGGTAGGCTTTTAAAGATACATATTCCATTTGTCCCATTGCCTTCTAGAAAGGAGAAGGTGAGACCCAGAAAATAAGGTGCAAGAGGGGATCTGTCTCTTGAGGCTGATTTGAGATGCTGCCTTGTGGAACCAGCTAGAAGGGTATTTGGGAACATAGGTGTGGGGAGCTGACTGCATGGGCACGCTCCTTGTTTTTCAGTGTAGTGAATTTTAGATGGTCACATAGTACTTACCTATGGCAGGGCAGTTTGCGTGTGTCTGTTCTATCTAGGGTAGAAAAGCTGCTTGTTTTTCAGTGCAAGCCTTCTGGTCATAAATAAAGGGAAGGAATTCCAGTTCAGAAGTAACACTTCAGGGCAGCATTAACTGAAGCCACAGAGCAGCAGCTTGTTTTGTGAGCTTCTTATCCATAGGTCTATACCATTAACAGAAATTATTTTTAACAATAAGGAAGAAAATATGCAGCAGGCACGAGAGGAGGAAGAAAGACGTAAAGAAGCAACTGCACACTTCCAAATTACTTTAAATGAAATCCAAGCACAGCTAGAACAGCATGACATCCACAACGCCAAACTCCGCCAGGAAAACATTGAACTGGGAGAGAAGCTGAAGAAGCTCATTGAACAGTACGCACTGAGGGAGGAGGTAAAGGCGTTTTGTTTCAACAGCTTCGCGTTATTAGCTAGAACTTTCCACCACTGACTACTAAAGAAGTAAAACTTGTCGGGGTGTTTCAGAACTTTTGTATATGCGTAGTGGAAGGCAGGCCTTTATTAGGAAAGGCTCAGCCACCATGGCAACAGAAGGATGCTTTGGGGTCATCACGCGGTGGTGCGGGACTCAGTGGATTTGGGTACAGGAGGCAATTTCTTGGAGACATGTTAAGTGCTACTTGTCCTCCATGGGATACTGTGGAAGACTGATTTTAACATCCAGATTTTTTTCCACTTATCTAGACAAATAATAAATATTTGGCCCCAAAATACCATGTCTCTCAGACATCTGTGAAAATCTCTACAGTCTACACCACCATTGCATGACGCTTGTATGTTTCAGATATTTTTTTAATGGGGGTTTTATATTATTTGGGAGAAAAGAAGAACCTATTTCTAAACCCTTATACATATGCCCATTGAAGTAAAGAGTTTACTGGAAGGATCCATGGCTGCTGATCTTGGTTATTGGCCTCCAACTAAGACTTAAGATTGTGGCATCTTCTGTGGGTTACTTTATCCAGTTTTCAAGGCAAACTTTAGATTAATTTGGAGTTTTACATACAATCCTTCAAAAACTGTTAGTTTTTGAAATGATTTTGTCACTCTTCTGCCTTTTTTTGTTTGTTTGTTTTTACTTTTTATAATGGAAAATTGTAGGATTAAACAAAAGTAGAGAATACTAGATCTGATAATTAATTCATGTGGCTTCAGTAGATGAAACCATAGTTTCAGCTACATTCCCATCACCTTTCTCTGGGTTATTTTGAAGCAAATCCAAGATGTCATACTATTCCATTCATAGATATTGGAGGGTGTACCTCGAAAAGATAAGGATACTTTTTTACCCACAGTACCATTTTCACATCTAAAATATTAACAATAATTATTTAATATTAAATATCTAGTCATTATTCAGGTTTTTCTGGTTGTCCCCCCACTTTTTTTTTTTTAAAAAAGCTATTTGGATTATAATCCAAATAAAGTCTATCCTTTTCACTGGTGGATATGCCTCAAGTCTCTAACATAAAGATTTCCTTTTCTACAGTGTGTTTATTAAAGAAGCTTTTTTTTATCCTAGAGAATAAATTTTCTATTAGATTATAAAGCCCTCAACTTTCTTATAATATTCTTTTAGTTTTGTTGTTTAATATGACAGTCTGCCACAATCATAGATCTAGAAAATTTGAAAATTGTATATTTAAATCATTACTTGTGAGTCTTATTTATTTTGAAAATTATCGGATGTTCTTTCTTGAGTCAGGAAGAGTTCCTCTTTCTGCATTTGAGAAGGGATGTTCTGATGACTTCATTGTGCATAAATAACCACTGAACAATTTCGTTTGGAAATAATAACATCCCTTTACCTAAATGTCTACTATGTGCCAGGTACCACACACCTTACGTAGTGTAACCAGCGTAACCATTGCATCGGCCTACACAGTGTTGGTGTGGTCATCCCTTCATAGGTAGGGGAACTAGGATTCAGCAAGGTGGGGAACTTGCCTGGGGCTATTCCTACTATCACAGCATGCTGCCTCCAACTGAGAAGTTTGGGAAAATTTAATGGGTAGAAAGAATCTCCAGGAATTCTGTGTATGATGAATGGGTTTAAGTTTGAGCTCCTTATCCATCTTTTTCTTGATAACAGTTTGAGCCTCATTGTCTTTGGAGGACAGAAATAGGAAGTACAGGCATGTGGCTGCCTTTACTTGATAGCCCACCTACAAAAGGGAGGGGCACGGGTGATAGGGAAGGGCTTGGACCCTTCAGGTGCAGGACAGAAAGAGTTATTATTAGCTTTGGTGGCATTAGCGGGAAAAGCGGAGTAAGAATCAAGGCGTTGTAACTTGTGTTATGTTTCCTCGTCATTGTGCTCCTTTTTCATTAAGTGATGGAAGAAATTTGACTTTTCCCATAGCATATTGATAAAGTGTTCAAACATAAGGAACTGCAACAACAGCTTGTGGACGCCAAACTTCAGCAAACGACACAGTTAATAAAAGAAGCTGATGAAAAACATCAAAGAGAGAGAGAGTTCGTAAGTTTTCTTAAAAAATGAAGTTATTGCCAAGTTGTACCAAAACCATTTAAGCATGTAAGCTTATTCTGCATTTAATGTAGCACCTGCGTCTTGCTCATTGGTTTTTTGCTCTAGATTGAGAAGGGCATGTGTGTGTTAAAAAGCATTTGGCTTTTTATTTGTATTTACCTTTTTATATAGAAGATACACTGGAGAGATTACGCCACATTACTGGAAAGATCTGCACTGCTTAGAATATTTATTTCATTTCTTAGGTAATAGTCACCAAGTTCAAGAATTATACCAGTATTTTCGCACATTAAACTTGGAAACTCAATTTAATATCGAGAGTTTCATATAATACTGTTACATTTTGTTTTGAAACTAGGGAAACTGTTTACTTACTCATATAATTTTTTGATAACATTTTAACAGAATTCTCTATACCCTAATCACTCAGCATTGTTCTCAGTGTACGCTCAGATTTTATTGCCTGTTCATAATTGTGAATACAGTGGAATCTCATTGGGTATGTATATGTAACACATGCAAATTCAACAATAAAAATGAGAAATGGTTATGATAATGAGGACTGTTCCATCCAGCTTTCCCTCCAGCAGCCGAGGCCCCTAGGTGAGCCTGATACGAAGACTCGGTTCCTTGAGTAGCCCTCGTGATGTGAACATGTTGTGCTGAGGGCGTTCACGTGAACCCACAATGCTATCCCATGCATAACTGAAGATGGGGTTGTCATTTCCAGAGTTGGAGTGTAAATTTCATGTATACACACACACGTGCACGTTACACATGTATACTTTCTGGTTGGTTTAAGGACTTTTTGAGGCTTATTTGGACTTTGTGACATTTTACTTCAGGGACTGAATTTAACAGCTGCCTACTATGCAACTTCACTGTATAATTTTCTTGAAAACCCAAGTACATAAATTAAAGCTCCTATCTCCCTCTCCCCTGCTTTTTAAAAAGTGATCAGAAACCAGGTCTCTGATTTCATTGCTTTGCTCCATACCCTTTCACCCTGCCTCGTCTTGCCTCTATGAGGTAGAAGGGCTTTCTGAATCACCCAGATAAAGTCAAGATTCCTAACCATGTTTTCTGCTAATACTACAATTCTGATTATTTTCACTTAAAACACAGCAATTTAACCCTGGGTTTTGTAAACCTGTTATTAGGCCTCCACGGTACTTTCTCTAAGCAGTAAGATTATTCCTGCTTTCCTAAGTGTTAACAAGTGGAACAGATTGAAGATATAGGTAAACTGGCACTTGATGCAACAGTATTTCACCTACAGACTTGTGGCTTTTGCTAAAATAATGAGTGGAAGGATTAAGTCTAACTATCTGGTCATTGGACATTGTAGTCATCCTTGTAATTACGATTAGTATTTTGCCAGAATGTTTCTGTTTTCTAGTTGTTAAAAGAAGCAACAGAATCGAGGCACAAATATGAACAAATGAAGCAGCAAGAAGTACAATTAAAACAGCAGGTAACTTGACAGCAGGGGATAGTAGAATTTTTAAGAAAAACCTGTGGTTCATTTGATATGTACCTTGCATCTCCTCTAAGATGCTTTTGCTTGTTCCCAGCCAGAACTGCGAATAGCTCACATGTCCCTCTTGGAGTTTTCCCCTTCATTTAGGGTGACCAATTTATTCCCCTTTGCCCAGGGCTTTCCTGGTGTTAGCACTCAAAGTCCTGGGTCCCAGGAAACATTTAGGTCTCAGGCAGACTGGGACGATTGGTCATGTCATCTGCAGTGTTCCCTTTCCAGTATTCCAGCTCTTTTTTTTTTTTTTCCTTTCTCAGCCTGTTCCCATGTGTGTCAGCTAATTTCCAACTAAGGAAAAACTGATAAATCTTCAGATTTTATTTAGTTCTTTTGTATTAAGTGGAACCATATGAAATTGCAGATACTTGACTTCTTTGACCTACAAAACGGCAATTTCATATAGTTTAATAACTGCCTGTTGATCATACAGTTCCACTCCCAGGTAGAGTTTTGGAGGTGGTGTTTTTCATGGGGGCCCTCCCTACTCACCATGCTGTATAGTAGATCCGTGGAACTTTTTTATCTTATAATTGGCAGTTTGCACCCTTTGACCAACATCTCCGCATTTTTACCACCCCCTCATCTCTGCCAACCACCATTCTACTCTGTTTTTACGACTTTGACTTTTTTAAGATTCCACATATAAGTGAGATTGCACATATTTGTCTTTCTATGACTTATTTCACTTAGGATAATGTCTACAAGGTCCATCCATGTTGTCACAAATGGCAAAAGTTTCCCTTTTTATGGCTGAATAATATTCCATTTTGTGTGTATATCAGGGGTGCCAAAAAAATGCATACACATGACTTGTATTCATCTTTTATTATTGGTATATATTGAGGATTATAATTTTAATACAGTTTTCCTTTTTTAAAATGCGTATATGTTTTTTTTGGCACCCCCGGTATACAGAGGGTGCCAAAAAAATGTATACACATTTTAGAAAGGAAAATACTATTAAAATTGTAATACAGTGAATGACGCTAGCATTCATTTGATTAACACCATCTTTTGAGCGAATGTCATACTACATGTTGCTACTGTATTTCAATTCAACTTTGGAAAGTAATACATAGATAACGATTCATAATATGTGCGCACACACACACACACACACATATATACATATATATATATATGTGTATATATATATATATATATAATTATATATATCACATTTTCTTTATCCATTCATCTGTCAACGGACACTTAGGTTGTTTCCATATCATGGTTATTGTGAACAGCACTGCAGTGAACATGAGAGTGTAGATATCTCTATGAGATCCTGATTTCATCTCCTTTGGATAAACACCCAGTAGTGGGATGGCTGGGTCATAAGGTAGTTTTAATGTTAATTTTTTGAGGAACCACCATATTGTTTTCCATAGTGGCTGCACCAATTTGCAATCCCACCAACAGTGCACAAGGGTTCCCTTTTCTCCACATCCTCGCCAGCATTTGTTCTCTCTTATTTTTAGCCATTCTAACAGGTGTGAGGTGATATCTCTTTGTGGTTTGATTTGCATTTTTCCCTGATGATTAGTGACGTTGAGCATCTTTTCATCTACCCGTTAGCCATCTGTATGTCTTTGGAAAAATGTCTATTCAAGTCCTCTGCCCATTTTTAAGTTGTATATGTTTTTTTTTGCTGTTGAGTTGTATGAGTTCTTTATATATAATTTGGATATTAACCTCGGTATCAGATATATGGTTTTCAGATATTTTGTCCCATTGCATAGGTTGCCCTCTCATGTTGTTTCTTTTGCTGTGTAGAAGCTTTTTAGTTCGATGTAGTTCTACTTGTTGATTTTCGATTTTGCTGCTTGTGTTTTTGGTGTCACATGCAAAAAAAAATCATTGCCAAGACCACTGTCAGGGAGCTTTTTACCTATGTTTTCTTCTTGGAGTTTTAGTTTCAGATCTTATATTTAAGTCCTTCATCCATTTCAAGCAAATTTTTGTGAGTGGTTTAGATGGTCCAGTTTCATTCTTGGGCATGTGGTTATCCATTTTTCCAAGCACCATTTATTGAAGAGACAGCCCTTCCTTTCCCCATTTTCTAGGCTCCCTTTTCAAATATTAGTTGACCATATTTGTGTAGGTTTATTTCTTGGCTCTCAATTCTGTTCCATTGGTTTATGTTTCTGTTTTTATGCCAGTACCATACTGTTTTTATTAGTTTAGCTTTGTAGTGTAGTTTGAAATCAGGGAGCATAATGCCTCCAGCTTTGTTCTTTCACAAGATTGCTTTGTCTGTTTGGGCTCTTTTGTGGTTCTATACAGATTTTAGGTTTTTTTCCCCCTATTTCTATGAAAATGCCATTGGAATTTTGATAGGTATTACATTGAATGTATAGATAGTTTTGGATAGTATGGACATTTTAACAAAATTAACTCTTCTGATACATGAACACGTTATATCTTTCCACTTTTGTTCTCTTCAATTTCTTTCATCAATGTCTTACAGTTTTCAGTGTATAAGTATTTCATTTTGGTCAAATTTAAGCATTTTATTTTTAAGATTTTTTTATTGGGTAACTGGGGGGATGGGAACAGTGCTGGGGAATTGGGGGAAGGGGAACAGACAAGTTGCTGTCCTTTTGTTCTTCAGTCTAGTTGTGGAGGACGTTGCTTCACTGGCCCAAGTTGGCACCATCATTGCACTCTTCCCGGGCGAGGCACATCAGTCGCCGGCTTCTGGACAGCTGCTCACTGCGGCTGCTGGCTGCTCACGCTGGCTGCTGGCTACACACGGTAGCCCATGGCAACCCACTGCAGCAGGGGCTGCAGCCTACGCCGTCGCTGGCGACTCACGGCAGCCCAGCTCCAGGTTGAGCTGTCGTTCAACATCTTAGCTGTAGAGGGCAGTGTCACTGGCCCTCATATGTGGGATCCGAACCGGGGCCCTCTGGCGTCCCAAGCCAGTTCTTAACCATCGCGACACTCGGCCGGCCCAACATTAATTCTTCTTTAAATGTTTGGTAGAATTCACTTGTGAAGCCATTGGGGCCTAGGTTTTTCTTTGTTGCCTCCCTGCTTCTCAGTTTAGACCCCATAGTTTTGTCCTAATGCAGTCTTCCTCTGTGGTTGCCTTGTGTGGATTAAGGATACCAGGTGCTGCCTTCCCACTCTAAGAAAAGGTACAGAAAAGACTTCCCATGTCTTTATGGACAAGGGAAATTAGGCTTGGACCTATAAATCACCCTTTTTCAGTTAATTAGATTACATTCTATTGAAAAAAAAAGTATTCATTTTTAAAATTTATTATATAATAAGTTTCTTTAAGATAAAGACTCTAAATTAGTTCTAAAATACTGATACACTGAGATTGGCCTAGATCTTTGTGAGCACCTCCTTGGAGTGCTATTTGTCTTTGGGCACATTTTACATTGTGGTGATACTTCTTTCCTACAAAGCTCACTTAACTTAGAGTGAAAATTCAAGAAGTCTTTTGAACTTCCCACCATAAGTTATGATCATGCTACAAATACTTCTAGGAAAGTTGAACCCCTTATTAGTCCTATGAATTCAGTTGTCCATAGGAGAAGAGAATCTATGTGGAAAAGTTATAAAAAATTTGTATATGGCTTGGGAAGATGGAAAATGGGCTTGAATGCTGGTGGCATCACTGCTATCTCTAGTGCAAGGCGCCAGAGGGGCCCATCTATCAGGCTAATAGGCAGCTCTGATTCTGTTGTACTGTTGCCAGTGCATCTTCTGTTGTCTGATCTGTGTCACCCTCGGTCATGTTCTTCAAGCACTAATTTGTTTCCTTTGCTGTCACCTCTTCCTTTTCCTGCTCCCCAAATGTGGCTGTCCTTCCTAAGAGTTGGTTATCATTTTATGCCCTTACCATGTCAGTTTTCAGCATTTGTTGATTACCTCATAGTCTTGGTATGTCTTGACCCACTGTTTTGTAATCCAGCCACATGAGTCTAGGTGCGATGGAAGTTCCCACTGACTGACTACCTGGAGTGGGCCAGCTTTTGAGTTCTCAGATGGGACAGTCTACCTGGATGTTCCATCTTCAACAAAAATGGACCATGCTAAAACTGCCATAACTTCTAATGTCCCTCAAGTGCCAGAACTGCTCCCTTATTCTGCCTGAGCACCACCATCATTGTTCCCATGTGCACGCCAACAGCCTCAGAAGCACTGACAATGTGTGCTCATAAATCCCGTAAATTTCTTTTCCTCCTTGCCCTTACCTTTCTTCAGGCATGCTTTGGTGATCTTACAGCCTCCGTGTCTAGCCTGTTGTCACTGGGAACATTGCTTTCAGTCTTTCTCCCTCCCACACAAGCAGAACTTGCTTTGAAGTGCACCCCACATGGCCCATCCCACCTGATAACTGGTGGGCAGGTTCTGTCCCAACACGTCCTACCCCCCTTTCCATCCTGTTCACTGGTTGTGGTTGATAATTCCTCGTGCAGCACTGCTGAAAGTGGAAGGGCATGGCTTATGCTATTTCTTGGCCTCTGATGATCCTGTATTCTCTGCTTTCCTTATATGTATTATGTAATCTTGAGCAAAACACTTTATTCCTCTGGCCCTGTTTCTTCATCCTGAAAATAATGTAGTTATGTTAGATGAGCTCAAGGGTCCCTCCTGGTCTAAACCAATTCAGCCTCCCCTTGAGGCCTCGCTTAGGCCTCGCCCACATGAAACTTGCCCTAAGTATTCTATTTTGACCCCTATTGTGCCCTCCTTCTCTGAACTCAAGTTCTAGGGGGAGAAAATGGTGATTCCGCATTCTGTATTCTACTTGGCTTGTCGGTTAGCATTATTTTCCCAGCTGAAATAAAAATTCCTTGAGGATAGGTGTTAAAAGAAAAATCAGTGTTTCTGCCTTTTAGCTTTTCTTTTTCTCTTAACTGTACTCCCACTGAATTCTTTCTCCCCAAACCAAACCAATTCTTCGGCTTCCGTTTCATTTTCCTGCCTACAGTAAGGAATAAGATATCCTTGATGTCAAGCTAAGAACTGTGCAGATGGTATTCTAAAAGAATGATCTTTTTCCAAGGACAATTTTTCAGATCTTAAGGAAGGGGGGGTAGTTCATAAAGGATTAGTTGTATGAAATTTTACAGCTATACCACATCCCTCCGTTTTCATTATAGTTGGTGGAATGAAACTAGTAAATATTTGTGCATTTTAAACATTACATCCACAAAGATGGCTAAGTCAACAGAATTTCCTAAGTTTTGGTGCATTTCACTGGGTTTTTAGAACTTCCATCTATTGTCTGGTGTCAAAGGATTGGGTATGCATTTTTTCTTATTTCTGTCACTTAAAAGACAAGTAACGATTAATGATAGTGTGTTCTTTTTGAAAGTCTTTTAGATTTTAAATTGTTTTATCAGGAACTCAGAATATTTCATACTTTTTTCTGTAGCTTTCTCTTTATATGGATAAATTTGAAGAATTCCAGACTACCATGGCAAAAAGCAATGAACTGTTTACAACCTTCCGGCAGGAAATGGAAAAGGTATTTGCATATTTTTAGTAGAATAATACTTAAAAGGGAATTTATTGGGTTGTTGGAAAAGTCATGATGTATTTTTTCTGTTTTTCGTTGCAAAAAATGCATCATAACTTTTGCAACAACCCAATATATAAGAAGCTATTTTAAGCATGATCACTATTTGGATGAGTTTATGTTGTTACGGTACTGTCTTAACGTCATCTCTGATCCTCCATTGGCATCATATTTGGTCATTTTGCCCTCAGCATATCCCATGTAGTCGGTGATCTCTATGCTCTTCAAGTTCTATCTTTATTAAAATGAATTCCTCTATTAAATACAATTCGTTGTTAGAAATAAAGTGGCTTCTTGTTTTGTTTTTTGTGTCTTTTGTTTTATTCACTTCAGGTGATCATCTGGCCCCCCCCCACCCCCCACCCCCCGGTTCACAAAGCTCTGTGTTCTTGGAGATTACATTATTTAAAGATATCCAAGCCCACAAAAGTAATTACATATTTTGGTTGGTTGATATGTATATATTTGGTGTTTCTGCCTTTTTAGCCTTTTTCTCTATTACTCCCACTGAATTCTTTTTCCCTCAACCAAACCAATTCTTTGGCTTTTATTTCATTTTCCTGCTCATGGTAAGGAAAGAGACATCCTTGATACCAAGCTGAGAACCAAAATACATTCATATGTACATATCCATCCACCCACCCATCTACCCATCCTTAGTTTATTTGACATATTCCCCTTGAAATGGAAACTTCTTAAAAATGGTGATTTGGGGAGAAGTACAGCAGTGTCTGGCACTTTGTAAGCATTTGGTAGATGTTAGTCATGACTATTACTAGGTTTTACATAGTGGCTGGGAGTGCGTACCCTGGGTTAATGTCCCAGTTGCATCATATAATGTGACTGTGGACAAGTTATTTAACCTGTCTTTCTCCTCCTTCCTCGTTATAAATAACAATACCTACCCTTTATAACGTATTTTAAGACAGTGCTTGGCCATGTTAAGTTCTCAAATTACCACCTTCAGATATTTTTAGACCCAGTAATCTGGAGAATTCAGTGAGCAGCAGATTAGTTCTACCTGCCAGTCCTTTCAGCTGAGGCTCCAGTCGAGGGGGAACTCGTATGCAGAGCAAACACCTTAGCTGGGCTCCAGCACATGGGTGCTGTTGAGGCCAAACAGGATTAAGATGTTGGCTCCCCAATTCAGTATCCTTTTGGCAAATTCTCTGGACTGGAACACTTTCCTCTATGTTAGTGGCTAGAGATCGCTCTAGGTCAGCACTCAACCCAGATCTGCCACGTGCTCGTCCCATGGCCTTTGTCCCACTCGGCTTTGTGGTAGTTTCGTGGGTGATTACCCATGGCCCAGGGCACTGGCTCTCTTATCCTTGTTTCCCTTACCAGTGCCTGGCTCAGCGCCCCAACTGGGATCAGAGCTGGGGCACAGTCAACAGTGCATAAAGGAATCTTGAAAATGGGGCTCACTGATGGGCAGATACATTTGATTCTGAATCTCTGAAAACTGGGTTCTTGTAGCAGATTTAGATTTCAGACCCATTTTAGTGTTAGCAAAATCTGAAGTGAAAGTCTTGTGAGTTGTGAGGATGACCAAAGCTAAGGATTAACTACTGTTATCTTTTTCTTCGTTACTGGAGTCTTACCTAGATTACGCTGCCTCTAGTTCTCAGACTGATATGTTCTTGGAGGTTGTAGTAGAGGAACAATTCTCAATCTTTTGTGGGGCTGAAAACCTCTACCTTCCATGGATCAGATGAATTCCTTGATCTGATTCAGACAGAAAACTCATGAACGTGGCCATTTCTTTATACTAATTGTGGAGAGGGCGTCTTGCCTCTTGCTACCCACATCTGGTATGAAAGATGCACTCCAGTTTAACTGAGCTCCGTGTGGTGTCTGACAGCTTCCTCCATGTGCTGCTGCCTCAGAAACTGGGGAGATTAGATTTGTTTTCCTCACGATATGAAACCCTGCTTTGGTTCCTAGGCACTGAGATAAGCTCTGCCAGCAACACATAGGCACAGCTGTCAGCTGGGCCAGGCAGGTGCAGTGACGGGGGTGGGGAGGAACGTTCAGACTTTTTGGTGGTGGTACAGGGTGTAGAGATAGAAATGGAACTTTGAATTTAAATTTGCAATTGTGTTGATTCACAGATGACAAAGAAAATTAAAAAACTGGAAAAAGAAACAATAATATGGCGTACCAAATGGGAAAACAATAACAAAGCACTTCTGCAAATGGCTGAAGAGGTGAGGTGGTTTCCTGCGACTGAGGTGTGTTCTTAAGTCATGGGGACTCATGAAGTTCAGGTACCTGGCAGGGTAGGGGACGTGTGTTGTGACACTTGTGTGATAGTTAAGGACTCTGGCCAGAGCTGGGGCAGGGAGGACTGCTGAGTACAGCATGTGCCAGCTTTCCTGGAGTAAGTTGGCTTGTAGGTGTAGGGCCCGTGTGAGGCATTACGTTTCCTGGTCCCCAGTGGATTGGCCCAGGGTTGTGTTGGAAGACAGCTGTAAAGCATCTAGATTTTGCTTGCTTCCACAGCAGTGATTTCTCACCGTTGAGCTTGCATCAAACTGCAGCTGAAGTGAGGCCCGGATTGCTAGGGTCCACCCAGAGTTTGATTCACTAGGTCTGAGGTGGGGGTCTGTCCTCGTTGGTGCTGCGGGTGCAGGGCCCCCACCTTGACAAGCACTGAGAGTCTTCCCAGTGAACAACTCACGTGTTTCTTCTTTTTGCCTTGACACAAGTCTTTTTAAAAAGGCAGCCAAGTACTTTTGCCAGTCTTTTTTTTTTTTTTTAATATTTTATTGGGGAATTGGGGAAGGGGAACATCCAAGTTGTTGTCTTTCAATCTTAGCTGTGGAGGGCACAGCTAGCTCAGCTCCAAGTCCAGTCGCCATCCAGCCACCCATCGGCAGCTCGCGGTGTCAAGTTCAATCTTAGTTGTGGGTGGGCGTAGCCACCATCCTGTGCGGGAGTCAAACCAGCAACCTTGTTAGGAGCACGTGCTCTCACCAGCTGAGCCATCCTGCCACCTGTTGGCAGCTCAGCTCAGGCGCAGCTCACTGGCCCACGTGGGAATCGAACTAGCGACCTTTTACTCAGAACTCACCCTCTTAACCAACTGAACCACTTGGCCGGCCCCTTGCCAGCCTTATAAAGCTGAAATGTACTGTCTACAAGCACTAAATTTCACACCTTAAATCTTATCTAAAAATTGGTAGAATATTATACAAAGTTGAGTTCTTTTCTCTTTTGAATCAGGCCCGTAATTTTTTGTCTGCTAGTCTTTGTGGTGAATACCTTGAATTTCCTTAATATTTCATCAATGTTTTAAAAAGTGGATTTTTTTATTGGATAACTTTTTTTTTCCAGGACCCGTCAGCTCCAAGTCCAGTTGCTGTTTTCAATCTTATTCGGTTGTTGGAAAAGTCATGACACATTTTTGCAACGAAAAACAGAAAAAATATGTCACAACTTATCCGACAACCCAATCAATAGTTGCGGGGATTTTGGTTGTTTTTAAAAAAATGTTTTGTCATCCCCCTAGAAGAGTATTGTTACAAATGTGGTATTTGTAGCTACATCTGCAGTGAAGCGAGCTAGAATGTTAGGACGTGTTTGAAGAAACTGAACGTGTTCAAGAACAAATCGTTTTGATTTGGCTGATGGCTCAGATTACTTAATTTTTGGGGATCTAGGAACCTCATCCATAGTCAGTGAACTTAACGTAAATTCTGTTTTGTTTTTTTCTTTACAGAAAACCGTCCGTGATAAAGAGTACAAGGCCCTTCAAATAAAACTGGACCGATTAGAGAAGCTGTGCAGGGCTCTTCAGACAGAGCGGAACGAGCTCAGTGAGAAGGTGGAAGTCCTCAAGGAGCAGGCCTCGGGGAAAGCGGCCGGTGGGGGTGCAGCGCCTCGTGTCACACAGCCCTGCGCTGGCACCCTGGCTTCTCCCAAGGAGCTGAATACAGCCTCGAACAGCGGCCCTGGAGTCCCTGTGGCGGTGGCGCCCAAGGCTGTGTCCCCAGGCACCGGGCCGGCCATCGAGTCGGTGGACTGAGAAAGTATGATCACTGTACTGAGAGCTCTATTTTGTGTATAATTTTCTCTGTTAGTAGTAACTATTGGTTTTGTGGTGAAAATTTTCTTACTTTTTCTACCATATCTGTATTTTCTTAGAACTACTGGACTTCTGTGGTACAGGAGGCTGCTTAGCAGTTTTGAATAGTTTTCCTCAGCTGTGTGGCACACCAGCCTCATTTCCCTTCATTGGAATGCATGTGGTCGCTGCCCTTTCTTCCCTGCTCCTTGCGCAGAATCATCCTAATTAAAATTTCACTCAAGACAGGGCTGACCATTACAAGGGAACTTTGTTCTGATGAGAAACAATATTCATTTAAATGTCCTGCCTCACCATCAATAGTAATCACAAAAAAGAATATCAAGAATGATTAGTTTTGTCTAATAGCCCATTTAAATCCCACGTAAAAAAAATTCTAGGATTGGATCAGAAACAAAGAGCATATTTGATTCCAAATAGTTTTTGATATTTGTAGCACTTGACAAATTGAGATGGCCACAACCCTCCAATTCTTGTTTTAGCAGAACATGTACATAATGGTATCACTTCTAAACAAAGTAGTACATACAGGCAAATCACCAAACAGGCCTAGTTTGTGTGACTAACAACTCATACTGCTTTGGTTTCAGGTTAGGTAGAACCAGCGCAGAATTTGGACCACTGGGATGCTTACTGAGGGGTAGGTGCTTTGTTTTCCATTTGGGATTTGGATACACACCTTCCACTTCCCACAGAAAGCAGGCACCGGTAGTCCTTTGTCAGTTGAAGACTGTAGCTTTCACCAAGCAAAAAGTCCCTCCACTGCCTTCTGGCTACTTGAAATTGGTGTTCAGTTGTTAAGAGAGTCCCACCAACAAAGTTCTTTAGGTTATCTTAAAGGGATTTTAGTTATGGATCATACTAACAAACTGATCTCATTTCCAAAACAGAGACTGGAATGAACTTTAACTTTGGGAAAACGTAGCAGAGAGTTAAGTAGTCAGAATCTGTTATTACATATGCTTTCAAACTGTTTCTCACCCTTTTCTTAGTTTATTTTTAAAGAAAAAAACCCAGTATTATCAAGGTCTCTACACTTGGAATGCGGAAACTTTTCAAAATTAAGCACATCACTTTTGGATTAACTTTGTTTACAGTGTCGAATGTGGTTAAGTTATGCAAATAGTTCATCAGGCTTCAGTGATGAAAGTTTTGACTCTGTCCCTAGTATAATTTGCATCGAAAAACATTATTAAATAAAAAGGCTCCACTAGAACCGATGTTAGCACATTCCACTGAGCAAAACTAGCAAACTGACACTTTTTAAGTTGCTTACTGGACTGAATAAATTCTGTTCTGTCCAGTTAAAGGGGTTTTCTCTTTGTTGAAGTTTTATTTGTATTCTTTTTGTTCAAGTTTTATTTGTAAAGTCCTGTCACATTCATGATCTAAACCGGGTTGAAAGAATTGAAAATTGTCCAGTAGATAGGAAACAGGGCCTGGAGTGGAGGATTAAATCTAAGCTTCCACCATTGGTCATGTTAATCAGTGGAGGAAAAGAAATCCACAAAGTAGGTTATCTAATCACTCTTGTCAACAGGAGTGGGAAGCAGAAACAAACATTCCCTCCCAACAGCCTCTTATAAATACCCCCTTCAGCTATAAAAATGAAACATTGGATTCATTTTCCCAAGAGGAGATGAAGGTATAGAAACATCTACTTTAAAATTAGTACTAATGATCACATTTCACAAGAATTCTGCTGGATGTATAGCTCTTAACGTTTTAAGCCATTTGTGTAGCCCACCACATATCTCTGTGGTGCTTGTGCTGTGTTGGAAGATTGTAACTCTTGGACCTGTTGCCTGTTTTCAAGGGCTTTATAAAGCAATGTGATTAACAGTACTTGGCCTGCTGCTTTTGGCTTACACTATGTATTTTTAGCTAGATGCTGTCATGGTGTTTAAAGGATATGGATTCTGTCTGGGATGCGTTTGGTGTCCTTTCAGAATCTGTCCTATTATCCTGTGAATAAAAACAAATGGGACCCACTGAGGACACCCTCCTAAAGCAATCACCTCACCAGCCCAGTGTTGTGGCTTTGTAGCACGCCCTGTTATATCTACCATATTCTAGAACACTGTAATGCTACTAGGCTGGTCCAGAAAAGGTTTAAATGTTGAATTCACTTCAATTGCATTTGTTGCACCGCCATGGAATCTTGATGTGTATTATTTATAATGGCAGGAGACTCCAAGGAGTAGAGAAAACTTGGGTCTTGGAGTAATGGACCATTTCATCCTCAGACTTGTAGGAGTCCATTTCTTGGTCTTGAGACCAGTATTTTTTAGTTATGTATGCAACTGCCTTTATTACACCTGGTTATCACAATTCAGTTCTCAGGTGTTGCAGAAAAATCTACCTCTTTCAGACTGTAGATGGAAATAACTGTGAAAAAATGATGCAGATATCTTCTAGTTTGTGCTAAACACACTGCTTTATTTTTACAGCCCACGTCTTTCATGAGGATACAAATTGTTAAAGAGGCAGTCTTGTTTTGCTTTTCAAAGACATTTTGTAGAGATTTTTCACTAATGTGAATCTGATTTTATCTACTCGATTCTGTATAGATTAAGTAAATATGTATGATAAATTTAACAGCTTCTGTGTATTCTTTTGTTACCCACGTGATCTTAGTTTTATAAGTCAAGTCCAAAGACAGTTGTAGATACTTGGTTTCTCAGACTTTAAAAAGCATTTTAGTTATTGTACAGTTTAAGTAATAAGGGATGGCTAACCGTCTGCCCTCTGGGTGGCAGCAGACTCATGTAGTCAGACCACTGTTCATACCTTTTTTGCCTTTAAAATACCTAACTAGAAAAATTCTAGTGTCGCTGCTCTCAAAGCTTTAAAAAAATTCAAGGACTATGGATTTCTTCAGTCTTGGCTGTTCAGCACATTCCAGGGTGTGCGTATTTAAATACCAGGAGATTAAGTATATATAGGTATACATGTTATACAGAGGCACATAGGAAAGCTTATTTGATGATGAGCAAAAAGTCACATATACAATCACATATAAGAGGGGTCCGCAAACCTTATTCTCTTAAGTCAGGTATAGTAAGTATTTTAGGCTTAGTGGGCCAAACAAGATCTTTGTTGCATATTTCTATTTCTATCTAAACTACCTTGTAAAAATAAATGTGAAAACCATTCCTAGCTGGCAGGCCCTACAAAATAGGTTGAGGGGCCAACCTGCAGGCTAGTTTTGTCCCCTCTACTGACCTGTCATATAAACAAATAAGCTTTCATTTTTTTGGGGGGGGTTGGGGGGTGGGGGGAGTGGGGAGTGGAATTTAGTTTGTTTAAAACTGCCCAAATTAAGGCACAAACAGGATATGGGTCAAATGATGTGGAAGTTAAGGTAGTTAATAGTTCTAGGTTTACAAATGTACCAATCACAAAATACAGATGGCTACTTTCTCCCCCCTTCTGGATTTTGGGTAAAGTCATTGGGTCCCTAACAGCTTCCTCACAGGGTGCGCGCGTGCACGCACACAGACACACACACACACACACACACACACACACAGACACACCCTATTCAGGTTCTAAAAGAATACAATAAAAATTATTTTAAAACTTTATTTCTGCAAAGCCAATCAGTAAGTGTTGGAGGGAAAAAGTGTAAAAGTTATTCTTGCATATTCAGGAACAGCAAGCACTTAAGTTTGAGAAAACAAGGACTTAAAATAGTTGAATCAAAGGCAATACCCTGCTACTTGTATTTTAAAACAACTGTGATGTTCTTTCTTAAGCAACCTTCATTTCATCCCTAAAAGCTACAATATGATACAGTACGCAATAGCTCATTTGAAAGTGCTAGAATCAGAAGGTAAAGAAAGAATGCCATATGCCAGCCCACTTAACATTTACTACTATACAATGCTTTTTGGTGCTTGATAAACCAAGCATTCATGTTAGCATTACATTCAACAGAAACATTTCTCATACTTTGGGTTTAAGATCCTTGCCCCTCCAGTTCCGATGTGGTGACATCTGACTCTTCATCATTGTAAATATTTTCAGCCTGGAGATAACCAAATAAATGCACAGGTAAAACTCCGCATGGTTTTTCCAAGATAGATTATCTAAAAATAACATTTAATAATTCCCCAGATTTTTGGATTCATGGGTCAATGTGTTTCAGTGTTGGAAATTAGTGCTTTACTTTTTTGTGTGTGCTTCCCCCAAAGGCTTTTGATAAATTTAATGAGGAAAGGCAGGCCAGTGTTCTAAAAAATGATTTGCCAGTGTATAATTTCACATACATACCTAGCTGCCCATACAGTATTTCAATTATTGTTCATAAAAGGTGTTTCCCCAAAGCATTTCAAGCATCCTTTAGAGACTGCGAGCCCTGAGGTTTATGCAAGGGCTTTATGCAAGGGTGGGTTAACAACTCTATGCCTTAGCAATGTCATTCACGTACTTCGTGCTCATCATCAGACAACTCAGTACCATGTGAAGGTGTGGACACTTTCCTCCTGTACCCGTCATGCCTATGACACAGCAGACACTGGACACAGAGCAGTGACACCGAGAGCCCAGCTGATGAAGAGTGCAATCATGAAAATCAGCACATGCTGTGTCTACATCTATGTACAGATTTCTCCTGACCCAGACTCATTAAAATGGCAGTTCTGAAAGATTGTTTCCTTTCTATAAATATTTGATATAATATGCACCTAGATGTTTGAGATACTTCTATTACATTATGTCACTAGTAAATCTCTCCTTTACAAGACAATCATTTAAGAAAGAAAATATTTTAGCTCACCATTTGCCATATCTGCATGATGTTATCCTCAGACACTGAGCAAATGACCCAAGGCTCATTGGGGTTCCAGCTAAAATCGGATATCTTGGCAGTGTGTCCTCCATGAATGAACTGTTGATAGATAATGTTCAAAGTCAGTTTTTAGAGCATCAGTCTTGCAACGGTTGGGGGTGGGGTGGGGTCACTGTCCTGTTGTTTGGAGGAAGGACAGTATAGGCTTAGTACACTACTACATAAACCAAGGGGCCTAGGAGATGCTCAAGGTGATTCGATTACAAATAGGGAGATGGTGGGCACTGCTGGCATCAACAAGATCAAGGAAGTTTCATTTCTGGGCAGGGAACTTAAAAATCAAGTCATTAAAATGTTTCCATACTGTTAGAAAGCGTTACGTGTTGCTAATTGAATACCAATACCTGTCCGCACCCCTCCCTCCGCCAAGAAAACATAACAATTGAAATCAGTGAGAAATTACTATACGCTATTTTCCAGGAGCTCAAATGAGTCTTAATGAAATATTGGTAAAAACCTACTGGGCTCCATTTCCCATTTTCAATAAATGTTCAATCCCAATCACAGTTAACTTCCAAGACCTCCAATTTGAAATCATCAAGAGCTAGAATTTGAAGTTCTGACTCATTTTCCATATACATGGATCAGTGACAGAATCCGATGGGCATGTGACATTTCATATTGCATATAAGAAAGCCAACATATACCAGGAGTTCAGGAGGCCCATCTTCTGCATCTTCTGCTGATTGTTCTTCTCCAATTTTGCTATTAAGAAAGAATATAATGCTTTCGTTATTGAAATTCTTGTAGCATCAGTGTTTGCAAAACCACCATTAGCCCAGAAAGCACATCTTAAAACACACACATACTGTAAAAACGATGTATTTCTATACTGCTATCAGTTTTTATATTATCTGGTGGGAGGGTGGGGTGTTGACTTTCTGGAAACAGGTTAAGAGCTGTTCATGACTGTTGCTGCAGAATAGAAGCTTAATAAAATTCAGTGTTTTTACTGTGGTATTTTACTGCATTAGAATTAAAAGGTGAAAAGTATATAAAATATCTACAGAGGAACTGATGCCTGGTCCCACACTTCACTCTTAATGCCTTTTTCATTCCAGGAATGATATATAGTAACATCAGTCCCACATGATCCGTCTAAAGACATGACAACAAAACTTTATGGAATGTATAAGCCAAGGAAAGGTTAAGTTTTTTTCTTCTCTTAAACTTGAATTTGTAGAACCTGCCAGCAGTCCCAACAGTGAAGTCACTCTTAAGTTACACAGCCCTACCTGATATGTAGCCCAAAGGGGCCTCTGCTAGTAGTTAAGTGCTGGAAAAAGGAGCCAAAACACACAACCTTCCAAGTGGTAGTCTTTTCCTTCCCATAAAACTAATTAAACCAAACACATGGATTGTTAGACAATTGTATAGTTGCTAACACCATTTTAATCTGTAATTTTATCTACTGCAATTTTAATAGTAAGCAAGTCATGGATGAATTTTAAGAAGAAATTATACAATGCCTGCACGTTTATCATTGGTACCTTTACAGACAATCCAGTTGCCAGGGCATCAGACTTCCAAACCTTGCTGTACCACCTCACACAGCCACTATAGATTTTTATTTTAGAGGTTTCCAATTTTACCAGTAAGACTATTTTCATATAAAATAGAATAATATACTCAAATGTCTGCTTTAAAGATTCTCTCCATTTTCAACCATCTATCATGGCCAGAGTTTGTTCCCTAAGAACACAGAACCTTAGATGTTTACAAGGTTTACAATAGCAGCATTTTATTCTGCACTGTCTGTTCCATACACCTAAGGATGGGTCTACCATCTGTAATCAAGGCAGCCTTGGTTTTAATACACTAAAAACTTAGTCCATTTCAAAGCAATACATTTAATACAGATAGGGAGAAAGTTAGTCTTTGGTAATTTAATGATCTAAACTTAACATTTTATAGAGAAGCATATTAACTGAGCAACTTTATTAATGGCTCTTAAAGGCTGAGACCAAAAAAAAAAAGGGAAAGGAGTCTGAAATTCTTAGAATGGCAACTCTGAAGTCAAAGAACTTTAAGAATTGGGAGAAACTCTATATAATGAGCCCCCAGAAGAACATAAGCTCTCTGACAGCATGGGCTGTGCTTATCCTGTTCCCCAGTGTATCCCCAGCAGTTACATAACCCACAGCAGGAGCTCATCTGCCAAATGAATCGATGAAAACCCAGAAGAGCAAATGATAGAAAAACTGAGACTAGTCCCTACAGGTGTACTTGAGATTTAATGAGACATGAACAGCTAACATCTTTACCCCTTTCTATAGCAAAAGCATTTTCAATCATTTGGATGTTAAAACACAAATGCACCCCTCCCCCAACTTCATGCCTGAATTATCAATAGAAAAACAAAACACTGCATATGTTTATTTTATAGTCCATTTCCTGATTCACTTCTATTTTATGGAACAGGCTCTTCAGGAAGGTACTTAAAAGCTACTTCAATATTAGGCTTATTAGGCTGGGGTTAGCAAATTGCTCTTCTAAATTTATGAAGTACATAACCTGCCAGGTTAGCATATTTATGCAGTTTTCTTATCACCAGATTCTGAGTTACCTTAAATCCCACACATTCAGGCGGCGATCAGTACCACTTGAAGCCAGAATAGTTTCGTTATGTGGAGACCAGTGGACCTAGCAATACATATTTGAAAATGTAAAGAATCATTTATTCTTACTAGGTTTGTGGCTATTGTCCTAATCTAATCCTTAATATTTTCCCATCACCTGTCCTGTA